GAGTCCACGGGGTAACCCGTGAAGTTGGAAGATAGTATCGATGAAGACACAAGCATAGCCCTAGACTGTGATTGACTACGGTACATGAACAAGATGTACCATCTTGCTGAACCGATAAAAAAAAACACAATAACACCAGTATTCTTGTAAGCTTCTTTGAAAAACCCGAAGACGAAGTCCATCAATACGGACTGCCAGCACTCTGCCGGAATCAGTAGAGGCTGCAAAGGTGCACGGGATGAAGGACTAGGCTTCAACCGTTGGCGTACTTTGCAAGCGCGATTGCATTTGTGCACAAACTCACACAAGCTAGGCCAGTTGAAGTCAAGACTTACCATGAGGTAGCTCTTTTCACTACCGCGATGACCACTTGTTGGGGTGTCGTGACACTCACACATGATGAACAATCGAAAATCATTATGAGCGGTAACGGCGACACGCCGCGTGTCGCCGTTAACTGCTGCATAGTACAGCAGTCCATCAAGAACCGAATGCCGTTCACTTAGAGCGTTGTTGAGACGTCAGCTTTTCAAAGCTTGACTGCATGGATAAAATAAGTAATCCATTAACTTCAAAAGAGACTCATCTTTTGTGTATGCTTCTCGCACGTCGTCGGGCATACTCGACGACGGAAAATTCACTGACAGTGTTGCAGCAGCGGGATCACCTCTACATGTGGATTGAGCAGTCGATTCCAGATCGGGCCGACACAAAAGAGAATCAGCGGCCACTTTAATTCGTGTTGGTCTACACTCTACGGATGAGTTGTACCCCGCGAGGAAAGACAGCCATCTTGCCATTCGTTGCGAGAGGTGTGGAATGATTACGGCCGTTCTTAACTACGCATGGTCGGTAAACGATGAAGAGCCTATCTCCAAAGATATATACCTGAAACTTAGCCAGTGAATGTTTCATGGCAAAGCGTTCCTTGTCATGCACTAGGTAATTACGCTCAGCAGCTTGCAGCTGAAGCGATTAATAACAGACGAAGAGCTCAGCGCCGTCTGAGTCGTATTGCATTAACGCGCAGCCGATTGCAAAAGCGCTGGCGTCACAGACCACGTGGAATGGTCTTTCTTAGTCTGCGATCGCCAACTCAGGCTATTGCACCAAGCTTTGTTTGATATCTTCGAAAGAGTGACGACACTCAGCACTTAATGACCACCTCTCGTCCCTTTTTAGCAGACGAGAGAGATGTACGGTCATCTCGGCGTAGTTGCGCGAGTAATCGTGCAAGTACGCCGCTAAGTCAAAGAACTTTGGAAGTCCCTTGACGTCGACTTACACAGGCCAGTCGCTAATCGCTTTGATCTTTTCCAGATCAGTGCGTACGCTTTTTTTACCCACGATGCATCCAAGAAGTGTTATTTTGTTCGCTGCGAGTATACACTTCTTGAGGGTCGCGAGCAACTTTTGCTCACGCATTAGTCTAAGAACCTTTCGGACGTGGACTCTAGGAACCTCCACGTCCGTCTTTCTATTCATGGCCCTGCTATTGACGAAGCCGTTGTCAAAGTAACTCGGTACAAAATCTCGCACCGATCGCAACAGATTTGTTACACATCTGTCAAATGTTGCAGGGGCATTACTTAGCCCCTGTGTCATCACTAGCCACTTGCAGAGCAAACCTCTGGGGTGCTCACTGCCGTGTACGGGATGTCCCGTTCACGCATGAGGATTAGATTTAATCAATTCATCAGATACATATACGAAAGATGGTACTTTTTGCCATACCACCTATGATGACATCCTTCCTCGTTACCGGCGCTAGAGCAGTACCGTTGCAGCGTTTAATTTGCTAAACGCGCGCACTATCCGCCACCCTCCTGTGGCCTTTCGCACACAGAAAGTCGGAGAGCTGTGTGGGGATGTTGGTTCCCTCACATGATCAGCCGCTAAACTTTCGGCAAAAAAATTGTCGATCGCTGTGACAGGTGCACGAGGCAGTGGTTACTGCTTGATGACACAGTACTTCGAGCCTGGTTTGAGATCGAATTCATGCCGAGTGACCTTGTCGTTAGGCAACTCGCTCGGCACTTATTCAAAGAATACATCCCTGAATTCTACCAAATCCATTACAAATGACTTGCCTCAAAAGACCTTTAAGAGTCAGACGTGTATCGCTAAATCCGGGTCTTCTCATCGAGGACACTCTCATCCATCGATGAGCTACTGAGAAATCGTTCGTTATCAGTTAGCATTTGTGCCGACCGAATATCGGCGACGTAATCGTCCTCTGTGACATTTACGCAGATCTGCTTGATCTTGTCACTACGCCGATCTCGCAAGAATCTTTTAGATTATAGCGTAAGCAACTTGATTACCTCCAAAGCTGACTTTGTAGGTATAAATCGATCAAGTGTACAAGCGCCTAGACTTGATCCGTCATTCACCAATAAAATCACCGTCTCGGTGATTCCTGGGTAAACACATCCGCAGGTGGTTAAGGATCCACACCCTCAACATAACTCTCTCGGGAGTTATCACTTTCAGAAATGCTGAAACTTTCTTCCAATACGTGTACTGACTGTGGGTGTACTACCACAGTCACGCCCTCTTCGATCGACTATCTGTCAGCCGATCTCGCTTCAACGTGTTGTTCATCCTGTACAAAACTAACTTCTTTTCTTGGATGGAGCTTTCTTGGTGTGCATCGAAGTCTAAGTCTACTCTATCTTTTCGAGTGGTAAACATTCGGCGCAGCCTGTGTCTCTATACAGGTGGCGAAAGCTAGTTCCACCGTGTAGTGGCGTTCTACGCTGTGATCTTGCGCAGTCGTACAAACGACCGTACCAAAAATGAGGCCATCGCACTCACTCGTAGTACATCCACACTCTTGTGGACGCTTGTGGACGCTCCAAGACGTTCATCAGATGGCCATCTAATGAAAGAACGGCAGGCATCTTCACGGATCGATGCTGCCAGCTGACCTATGGCCGGTAATTTCTAAGCCATGGAAGACCGAGTGGATATCAAATTTGTCATCCAAATCTAGTACGATGAAGTCGTCATCGTAATGCTTTCCTTTTAGCGTGTAGGGGATTACCACCTCGCGTTTGTTCACTGTTACGGATGCGCCAGTAGCAAGGCACACCGTCATTCTCGTTAGCGGGAACTCTCGCTTAACATAGTTGAGTCTACTATTTTCTAGCGACTGGCGTCGGATAAAGCTACTCGACGCCCCACGGTTAACTAGGGTGCGAAGTGACATTCCTCTTGTCACTTCGATTTTCAAAGTGATGAGAGACTCCTCATGACTAGGGGCAGTAGCACACAGTGACTGTGTGTTGGGAGCAATCATCGTCAAGAGTCGTGCAAAATCTCGACGTTGCTGGATCAGCAGGGTGCTCCGCCCATACTGACCCTGTCCTTTTTTTTGACGGTCCGACTTGCTGTCGCGGCTTAGCGACATGGTCGGACCCACGCCGTGGACCTTTCCTCGGCCAACGGTGGTCATCACGTCCTGTCTTTAAGCATGTTGCGGTGCTTAATACACTACACTCATGAGCGTAGTGTTCAATCTTCTGACAGCGATGGCATCTTGCCCTTCGCTTGTGACTCAGAGAGCGAGAGTGATCAATCTCGATGTAACAGAGGTCCATTGGTTCGGGACCTATGGTTTCCTGCCGTCTCGTCGGACGATAATTGGACGAGATAGCCTGAGACTGTCTCAGGCTGAAGTCTTCTTGTTCCGCATACGCTATCGCCCTTTTTTCAGCGTATGGAAGTCCTCTCGGAACATGTAGGTCTTGACCGGCTCATCTACAAGACCTTAGATGAAAAAGTTGATGGGCGTGTGCTCATAAACAGGGTTTTCCGTGACGCTACTCGAAACATAGAGTAGGTATCGTGCGTAAGCGTGCACGTCACGCTTACCTTACTTGAGCCTCAGGAGTGCAGAGCTTGCTCTGAACTCGGCTCTTGGCGGCTCAAACGCCTCCCTTAAGCCGAGACTTCAATTTCTCAAACGACTTAAACACATTTGGGTCGTGAAACTTGAGCTCTCAGGCCCAAGTCTTTGCTCGTTTTGTCAAATTTGACATGGCAAAGGTGACAAGCACCTCGTCACCCTCTATGTGACGGGCCTTACGTCGTCGCCTAACTCGACGAACCATCAAAAATGGAATCTTCATCGGTTCCCTTGTACCTTTAGATATCTATCTTCAAGGTTTTGGTTCGCCGCATGTTCGTCGGCCCACCCATCGACTGATGATAGCCTTGCTGTTGTAGCAAGGCTTATTCTGTCATTCGACGGCGCGTTCCCCTTGTAGGAACTTGTTGATAGAGGCATGTTGTTGGCTCTTTTTTAAAGACTCCAACGTGCCTTTGATGGCGGGTTTTGCCCATGAGCACACTTATACGGCCGACTATCACCTATTCTAAGTCACTCAGATGAGAGTAGCCTTCACGCGTGACGTTAAAGATGTCGTCTTCAACATTCAACATTTTCAGGTTTGGGTGGACACTAAGTAGTTGTTGGAAGGACTAAGAAGTGCTACCAGGTGTAACGGGGCACCCTTTTGTTTGGGCGCTACGAAACTTCACGTACACTCGTACGTGCATGGGAAGGTAAATCGACATAAACCGCTAGTTTAAGTAAAGATAATAAGAGAACTGTATCTAACATAGTTAAGCTATCAATACAACTTCAGTCTTTATCTAATTCTATCAATCTGCATTGCCGTATGACGACAGCCTGCTCACCACTCATTGCGCGCGTCTAGCAGCGATTGGTGGTAATCTTGGATAATATATATTTATTTATGTTGGGGTAGTTGGATGTAAAAGCCGAAGTGAATATATTTAAGGTCCTTAGTTCACTACCATAGCTAAGTCTAAGCCTTAATGTAACGACATCCTGTGATCTCATCATGTAACCGCGATCCATAACCTTCTTCCGTAATAACCACCATGAAACACCCTGACACAGAAATCATCACCATGAACCCAACATGAAACGACTGCACGAAGCGGCGTATTCTAAACACTCCCACTCGCCGCTACTGCTTGGTTTCTTTGCACTGGATACCATTCGCATCGCGCAGGAACTTGAACGTCTTGGATCCTAGAGCCTTGGTCAGTATGTCGGCCAACTGACGTTTGGTGTCCACATACGCTAGAGCAACTGTTCCGGCTTTGATCGTCTTTCGGATGAAGTGATGACGGATGTCTACATGCTTGGTCCGAGCATGATAACCAGCATTCTGATCCAAAGCAATTGCGCCTTGATTGTCCTACCAGATCATAGTAGCGTTCCTTTGTACCATTCCCATGTCCGTCAGCATCGCACGCGTCCACAGTACTTCCTAAACGCATAGGCTTTAGAGCCATATACCCAGCTTCCGCTGAGCTGAGGGCAATTGTTCGTTGAAACTTAGACTTGAACACCACGGGAGAGTTTCCAATCATGATCATAACACCCGAGACAGAACGCCTGTCGTCGAGATTATATCCCCATTCCGCATCCGAGTAGGCTTCAGCTGAGACGCTGCTAGTACCACTTTTGTGGATGATCCCGTGCTGGTGGGTCGTCTTAAAGTAGCGTAGAACACGTATAGCAGCGCTCCAATGCTGCTGCTCAGGATTATCGAGAAAACGAGAAAGTTGCGTTACTACGAATGCAATGTCCGGGCGAGTACACGTCGTGATATACACTAGGCATCCAATTAAGGAGCGGTACGGTCTCGATTGCATCTTGCTTCGTTCTGCATCCGATGCTGGCGATTGCGACTTTGGCAACTTTAGACCGGTTGCACACGGGTTGTCCACCGTCCTAGCGTTTTCTTGCCCAAACCGGTTTGCCACATCATCGATGTATCGCGTTTGCTTGATCATAAGCGTTCCAGCAGTCATGTCATGGTCGATCTCCATTCCCAGAATAAACTTCGCCGGTCCAAGCTCCTTCATCTTGAAGGCATTTTTGAGTGCGTCCTTCACGTCACTAATTTCATCACTAGTCTTTGCCGCAATGATCATATCATCGACGTAAAGGCAGACGTAAATAAAATTGTTCTTGGAGCGCTTGACATAGACGCATTGGTCCGCACCACAGCTTTTGAATCAGTACCCAAGAAATACACGATGAATGGTCTTGTTCCAGGCACTTGCAGCTTGCTTCAATCCATAAATGGCCTTGTTCAGCTGGCACACATAGTTCTGAGCGTTATCAACGCCAATTGGTACCTCCATGTAGACACGGTCCTCCAACTCACTGTTAAGAAACGCTGTATCAGCGTCCAACTGTTCCATCTCGTATGCGTAAGCAGCGCAGACGGAGAGCACAACTCGAATCGAGTTCATGTTCGCCACTGGAGAGTACGTTTCAAAAAAAATCCACTCCGTACTTCTGCTTGAAACCCTTCGCCACCAACCGCGATTTGAAGCGCACCACGCGACCGTTCTGGTCACTCTTCTTGGCGAAAACCCATCTGCACCCAATGGTACGGATGGCCGTTCCTCGTGGAACTAATGTCCAGGTATCGTTCCGTTTATGAGAGAGCAGTTCAGCATCCATGGCTTCACGCCACTGTGTTGAATCTTCACTGGCAATTGCCTGAGCGTATGTTGTAGGAAGATCCACTGTGTCAATGCTTGCTGCGTACGCGAGGACGGCTTCAGCAATAAGGCCGTCTTCATCGATCCTGGCACGCTTCGGATAGGACGGTCCATCTCTTCCTTCCGACTTCCGTTCTGCCTCTGCGTCCGTTCCCTCTTCAAGAAGGAAGACTGGTTCCCGGGAACTTCTAAAACGGTCTCTAGGGGTATGGAACACCACTTGATCGTCCTCGAAGATAGTCGGTGGTCCACGGTACGGTTCCAACTCAAATCCAGTGGGAGCTGACCGTTCTTGTGGCATCAGCAGCGGCGGTATAGCGTCCTGTATCGGTTGCATGCTCTCCATCTCTACATCCGGTGCGTCGTTCTCAACGCCTTCCATGGGTTCCGCTTCGACGAATTGAAGTTCCACTGGTGCGAGCGTGACTTCATCATCGGCGTCTGTGCTAACATGAATAACTGTTTCGATCTGAGCAGGTAGTGTATCGTAAATACCATCTACCTCACGCTCGTCCAATTTCACCGAGCGAGAAACTTTGACCTTGGAAGCGTCCAAGTCATAGACACGGTAACCCTTGACGTTTTATGGGTATCCGAGCAGCAGACATCTAAAGCTCTTAGGTTCAAGCTTTGTCCTCTTTGCCTTGTCTATATGGGCGTAGCCGCGAGAACCAAATACGCGTAAGTTGTATGATGTGGGCTTTACTTCAAAACCCAGCTCAAACGGTGTCACAGTTGTGTTTTGCGTGTTCGTGGAACGGTTGTTCAGATATACCGCAGTATCGACTGCTTCAGCCCACCACTCCATTGAAACGCCCTTGTTATGTAGCATAGTTCGAGATTTCTCCATGATGGTACGGGTTCATCCGTTCTACCACTTCATTCTACTGAGGACTATACAGGCGTTGATGCACGATACCATTCAGCATACATATCTTCGTGATCTCTTGGCTCACAAACTCCGTTCCATTATCCGATCATAAACACAGAATACGTTCTCCCCATTACTTCTCATAGAACGTCTTGAACTCTCTTAGGCTTGATGGCCACCTCGCTCTTCTTCTTGGAGAAGTAGGCCGCAACGTAGCGCGAATAGTCGTCCACGAACGTCAGGACATACTTTGCACCACCTTTCGAAGGATTTGTCATGGGCCCCATCACATCCGTGTGGACGAGCTCAAGAACGCGCGACGTTTTCGAGCTCGAACAATGAGGAAATGTAGCCACCGTCTGCTTTCCTTTCATGCAACTGCCACATAAAGACAGGGTCGGTTGATCAATAGCCGGAATACCGTTCGTGGCATGACGTGTCTTAATCAGAGCGTCTTGGTTGAGATGTCCCATGCGAGCGTGCCAAAGCTCCCACTTGCTGCCAGCCTCGGCGTACTGAACGAATCGAGCTTCTTCTTGTTCACAGTCCAATATGTACGCCTTGCCCACCTTCTTACCCTTCTCAATTGCGCTAGCCGCTCCCCATATAACACATGAGGAACGCTGGAACTCCACGTTCAGGCCACGATAAGCGAACTTTCCCACTGACAATAGACGCCGATCAAAGCCCGGGATGTGAAGGACTTTAACCATCATAATCCGTTTACCGTCCAGTCCAATCAAGCGTACTGTACCACGGCCAGTGACCTGCAGCTTCATTCCGTTAGCGATTGCTACTTCGATGCCACTATTCACGTTCTCATATGCGAACAGATCAGAACGGTGCGGGGTCATGTGTGCGGTCGCTCCGCTGTCGATCACCCATCCGTTTACACGTTCTGTGCTTACAGCAAATACCGCATCTTCATCGCCATCTATTGTCCGTTCTTGACAGTCCCGCTTCATGTGCCCAACTTTGTTGCACTTAAAACACTTGCCTCGAAACCATTAGCGTTTTTCTTCTGATCGATCCACTTGCGACCGTTCCCCTTGTTGCCCTCGAATCGTCCAGTGCTAACCTTGAACGCTCGTTCTGGAGTCGTGTTTTTTCTCTCCAACCGTTCACACTCCTTTAACAGCTTCTCTTCACCTCGATGAGCATGATGTCCTTGAAGTTTTCGATGGTAGATGGTATCAGCTCGTATTCGGCTGGAAGGCTGGTCAGTAGCACTACCAGCTGCCGTGCCTCGTCGACAGGCTTTCCAAGCGTCTGAAGACCGACAACGAGCTCGTCGAAGGCGTCCAAATGCTTTGCCATGGCCGTTCCAGTATCCATCTTGAACTCGTGGAGGCGCCGTGTCATCGTGACCCGATTGTGTAGTCTAGTTCGATTGTAGAACTATCTAAGCGTTACCCACGCTTGAATCGCACGCGTAGATGAACGTATCTTTGTTTGGTGTTGTAGCTCCACACCCTGCGCGATGATGCCGAGAGCCTTCGCGTCGTTCACTAGCCAAGCTTCCGCTATCTCACTCTCCGCCTTGACCACCTCCACATGCACCAGCAGCCCTTTTCTGGCGAGCGTCATCCTCATATTAAACTCCCAGTGGAAATAATTTCCACTTCCTAGGAGGACTTCGGCGCGCTTGGTACTCATCATGTGCGAGGCGAGGCGTTCTTGGTCTTGACGCCGCTGTCCGAGTTGCGGCTGTTAACCTGTTGGGGTAGTTGGATGTAAAAGCCGAAGTGAATATATTTAAGGTCCTTAGTTCACTACCCTTAGCTAAGTCTAAGCCTTAATGTAACGACATCCTGTGATCTCATCATGTAACCGCGATCCATAACCTTCTTCCGTAATAACCACCATGAAACACCCTGACACAGAAATCATCACCATGAACCCAACATGAAACGACTGCACGAAGCGGCGTATTCTCAACAATTTATTTATATCTTCAAGCAGCACGTGAATAGTATTCTAGAGGATAATTATCACGTGCTGCTCGGGGATTTTGGCAAAGAATTGTCACGCTAGACAATCTAAGTATTGACACCGTTTGGTGTCAATATCATGTAATAGGCTACCCCATTACACGCGTACCGTTGGCTATCTCAATGCTAGGAACAAAGCGCCGTCGTTGCAGCTTGTCGTGGTTTTCTTTAAGAAAAAGGGAGGCAGACATTGGAAGTAACTAAAAATGCTTTAACTAAGCTGTTGTGACCCTACCCTTCATGAACGTTGAGTACTTCCTCTTCCCATTGCGAACACAATTCTGGGAAAACGTCGTTACGTCAACTCCGAGCCATAGGGATAACGCAAACGCGGCTGGATCTATATGTACGCCACGCCAAGGCTATGCGCGAATAATAAGGACCCCAGGATCATCGATGGTGAGCTTAAACTGGTCGATGACGCAGCCTTTCAAATCGTATTGCAATCTGAGGGCACGCGAGAGAACGAGTGTTGCGGAGATAGGTTGGTAGTACGTGTATTTTAACTACAGCGGCCACAATTACTGACCACATGTGTTCGAAAAGCGCGTATGAGACATTGAATAGGTACTAAGAACATAATTTGTACTGTAGCTGCTACAGAATCTGCTAGCTAGTCCTTCAGTATCTGCCGTCAAGCCCCTCTCGCTATTTTACAAAGCCATTAAAGCCAATCCTTCGTCACAGCACAGGCTATCCATACTAGTGCTAGCACATCTTTCGCACTATCTCACATGCTGACACCAAATTTGTGGTAGTCTGCCGCTACTTCGTATCCATGAAAAGCCATCTTCCTCGATTTGGCCATCGCCATTTTTCTGTCCAAACACGTCCAACAGTTGGCTGCGTCCAGCACTTGATTCGTAGCGATCAGCCTTTCTGAAGGGTCTGAGGTTATGTCCACCTGGACCAAGTAGCAAGGCCACCACTATTTGCAAGTATCCTCGTGTTGTAATTGATAACCGTACTGAAACGTTCGTGGTACCAATAGCGCGTGAGCGTTTCTTCGTCTGCAGACAAACATGTCACTACAGTGGTGTCTATCTTCGAACACGCGAGTATTGTACCTGATCAACCGATATCAGTTTGCCTTGTTTTCTCGAAGCGCGTGCGACAAAGCGACAACATTCGCAAGTTTGATACCTCCACCGATTACGTGGTACTAAGTTAAAGTCTCGGCTATGGACTCGCTAAGCAAGCAAGTGGTGTGAAAATGTGGAAATGAAGAATCCACCGCTGTTCGACCAAAGGTAAGCTTCTGGTTCATTATGGGGAGCGCAACATGGCGATTTCAGTGCCTATCCTCACTTCGGTTGTTAGCTTTGCTTTATTGATCGTATGGCCAACAATATTTGGAACGGGGCTGAACATACAGCACCTATCTATTAGGTAGTAGAAAAATGTAGTTTAAAAGAGCAAATGCACGTCCAGTTGGCCACTCTGTACCGACGCACTCTCGCAAAGGACCCATTGATCTGAACATTGATGTACTCTATTCCGAAATTACTCACTTGTATTTATTTGTCGAATCCAGGCTATTCTGGAAGTGGTCATTTTATGATCAGGGTATGATCGCGCAGTTGATGAAGAATAAGCTCAACAAAGTACATCCGAAAGCACGTGACCGCGTCAATGTCGCTGATTGCGGTCATCGCTTTTCGATTACACGAAGTAACTTCATTATTACTTCGGCACCTCCTCTTCAGCCTATCCAGCGCACGACACGTCAACACGCTTTTTATGCTCACGACTTGTCTACAGCTTGTCTCGAATGCACGAAGCGGATTCATTTTTACTTCGGTACCTCCTCTTCAGCCTATCCAGCGCACGACAAGTCAACACGCTTTTTATGCACACGGCGTGTCTACAGCTTGTCAAACACACAACGCGACACACGCTTGTAAAACAAACTGACCTTCTCGACTATCCGTCGTCAAAACATAGTAGATGTAAATAAATGTGGTACGTTTTACAGTCTAGTCGTCTATCGCAAAAGAAGGACGGAGCAAAAATTTGGACTCGTTTCGGGAGGTGCGGCTTGAGGCTTATTGCCGATATTGCGCATGCCTTTCGTACGACCGCGACATGGTGGTCCTTACGGTGACTGCTAGTTTAGCTGCTGAGGGATTCACATGGGTCCGCGCACGTACACGGTATCTCAATTATATCTGTCTTTTTCGATCACACTACTACACCACCCAGAACCTCTGACCGCTGCTCAAACCTGAATCAAGTTAAATGCTGGAAAAACGGAACGTATGAAGAGGTGCTGCCGGGCTGTACCTGTGGATGGTGTGCCATAAACATTCGCACCTTTTTCGACGATTCGTCACTTTGTGTTTTTCTCAGCGATCGTTCTCGCTGGCTCGCCATGAAGAGCTACACATCTTGAAAGCGTGGGTAACAATCACCTCTCTATTTCGCTATCAGAATGAGGTCGTGTGTCTTGTTGTTGCTTCCCGAAATAACGTCGTTGCAAGACAGTCACTCTCAATATTGCCTTGTAGTGCGGTACGCCTCGTCCCTAGTCCTTCAGCACACAACTTCCTCCATAGTACTGGGTCTCCTCTAAAATGGGTCGCATGCAATACCTGTACCCTTTCGCCACCGTACTCGCCCTTGCTGCCAAGGAGGCTGGCGCTTTCACCATCGGATCTCCCTCTGGTTTAGGCGCCGGCACAACTGGAGGCGCTGGTGGAGAAGTCGTGTATCCCACTACGAACGCCGAGCTTTTGACGTACCTGAACGATACCAGGCCGTTCATCATTGTCCTCAACAAGACGTTCGACTTTCGCGGAACTGAAGGCACGACCACCGAGATCGGTTGCCGACCAGTCGAAAACCTCATGTGCATGGAGAAGAACAACGGCTTTAAAGGCCAAGACATGATCCTTCGAAAAGGTAAGAATATCACCAGTGACTGCGCCGACGGCACGGAGGTGATGGTGACATACGACAACGCTGCACTCAACCGTGCCCTTGTGAGGGACAACAAGACCATCCGTGGCATTGGCAAGAAAGGCGTGATGATTGGCAAGGGACTAACTCTGCGCAACAACATTATCGTCCAGAACATCTTTATCACGGAACTAAACCCATCCTTGAATTGGGCCGGTGACGCCATCTTCATACCAGGCTCTATTGACGGAACCGTTGTGGGTTACAACATCTGGATCGACCACGTCAAGGTGTCTCGCATCGGCCGCCAAATGGTGGTGACGAATAAGGCTGGTGTGTCATCAATGACCATCAGCAACTCGGACTTCGACGGCCACACGGACTTCTCCTCGTCATGCGACGGACACCACTCCTGGACCTTCCTGCTTTCCGGCAAATCCACAGGCATCACGATGATCAACAATTACGTACACGGGACGTCCGGTCGGTCGCCTAGAGTCGGCGGTGAGAAAGATAACAAAGTCGTTGTGCACATCGTCAATAACTACTGGGGCGACAGCACGGGCCACTCTCTTGATGTTGCGGAAAACGCGCACGTTCTTGCTGAGGGCAACTACTTCGAGAACACGAACCAGACTCTGAAAAACGGTACGGAAGGATGTCTGTACGTATTCAACAGTACCGTCGGTCCCGATATGTGCAAGAGCTACCTGGGTCGCTCGTGTGCGCCGAACGTCCTTGTGCATAGCAGCAGCCTTACGGAGCGCAACGGGGCTTGCGCCCTCGAGGCCATGAAGGGGTACCCGAACATCATCGACTTCTCGTCAAAATCTGCTCGTGCCGCTGACATCGATCAGAAACGTGGGAAGCAGTCCAGTTCTGAAGCCGACAAGCTCTACTGCGGGATGACTCCATTGCCGGTCCCTGCGAGCGAGTTGGTTGGGGAGTGGGCCCGGACGACCGGTAACTACGGCGTCGGCAATTTGGACTAAGGTCCGTTGCGTAGTAGTATTCTGTAAACCGCGATGGGCGCTGAATACATTTTTTCGATTTGCATTTTATCTGCTTCATTTGGAAGATGTTGGCATTGAGACTGTCGTTGTTGTGTTTATTCGCCCTGGCATTCGTAATAGACATACGCTCGATGCACGATACGCACAAAGTAGTAGTACAGTCGTAGAGATAGATCCTTAACACTTAGATGTATCGTTTGCTGCTTGGACAAACGATCATCACTTTCTGCAGGAGTCACACTCCACGTATAAAAGAATGTGTTCTCTCATGGCTGGTGAGAGAACAACAGTCGACCGCTTTCATGGTGAAGTCGACTCTCTTCTACATGTCAGACGATGCAACACAGATCTGTAACAACTTGCCCACCTGGGAGATCACCATCACAGGATCGAAAACTGCTGGCCATCTACGAATGACTCTGTGGTCCATGATGCACTTCAACACACAGCTTTGTCCGTTCAGTGCAGGCTCCATGCATCCCGCTTCTGACCGGCTAAACGTGGTGACCATTATTATCTTGGGAAAACTCTAAATACACCCAGGCGTAGTGTTCAGCATACCCTTGTTCTGTCTATGCTATCTGTTCGTCTTTCGTTTTCTAGGCCGACAAATGTATCAAAGACATTCATTGACTTTGCATTCTTGGGTACCCATCGAGCAACACCGCATGCATCCATAAATGCTCGTCGATGCGCATGCTCTGTTACCCAAACGTTCGCTATACACGTGAGACTCTGGAATGCTCGGCTCTCTCGGCGTGGACAGGAAAGTGATGTTGGTGATGCACGATCATCCCCTAGGCGATACGACTGCAACATTGAGGGGTCAACCCGCTCCCATTTTAGTCGACTTGTGTATCGTCACGTACTCGGGCCCATTTGTAAGAGCTCGAATCAGATCGAGGTGTATGCGTCCGTGTGGGTTGCAAATCAGAGTGCGGACATGCATGCCGTGGACAAAGTGCAGCCAGGTGAATCAGTCATTACCCGGTGATGTCTGGTGTCCTCAGCCGAGTTCACGACTATAATCTTTCCGGAACATGCATGCTATGGACTTTGTGGGATCTGTGTGTTCGCTAACTCGCGGTGGTATGGTGCCACGATTGTGACAAGGCTGATGTGCAAACAAACGGTTGGCGAGGTGAGTATTGCTTGTGGACACCTCCAGCGATTCACTTACATGAGAACGAGTGTCAAGTGTTTACATTTGTGTGGGGTCGTGCTTTCGCGTAGTCATCTTGCTTTTGCAAGCTCAATAAATATTTAGCGACGTGAACAATGGCTAGGACAACACAGAACCCGAGCGTCCGAACGATACTCTACATCGCTCGAATGCAGCACCAGAATCCAAGTGTATGTGGGAGAGATTCCAATGATTTGTCTATGCTTGCGGTGGTGATAGGGATCACTTGAACTGCATGCCCGTGATTTTCGGTAGCTTCTAGTGCTCGCAGGCTCTGAAGCCGAACTGATTAAGACCACTGATGCCTGATTTGAGCATGTAGGAAACCTCGAAAAGAGATAGAGAACCTTGCCAGTGAAGCAAGTGTTTTAGCACGGCAGCGAGAGCGTCGGAGGTGTCAACCACGTCATAAAAAGACGGAGTGTGCAACTGTGCTTCATTAGATGCTATGATCGATGCTCGAGTATCGGAAGGCTCAGCATCGTGAGTTGCAACACCAGAGGGGAAGGCTGGAAAGCGCATCATAAGAGGAGAATACTGCAAAATACAAATAAAAGAGCAGTGCCAAGGACTGTCTTTGTAACACTCGTTTACACAGAAAATATGAGACAAATGGATAGCCTGAATAGAACCTCGGTGTTTTGAACACTGCGCCTGGGTGTATTCAGAGTTTCCCATCGACTAATCGGTACGGCATTTGCGCAGTACTCCTTGAAGTGGTATTCAGCTTGTTTATAGCTTATACGTGGATTATAACTACATATCTGATAGCAGCAACTCACCTTCCGACATTCGCATCACACTTCATTCCAGGTTTTGAACCTCCCTACATCACCATGCGTCTAGATCGAAATTGAGGCCTATTTTCTGTGTGTTATCGTGACCCGGCATCTATGTTTTCTCAGGCGATCACCATACTCCCAACGTACACATCAAGCGACATATCGATAGTACTACCTTCATGCGCCACCAATGGTCACATGGGAGAATTTACGCCATTATGTATCACCACTGCTGCAAAGTCATTGTACGGCTTTTGCGACTACGATTGTAAGTCACTAACTCATATTGCTTCCATAAGCTGCGCCAAGCTCTAATTATACTAATCAATCCTCATTCAAGCCATCGTGGACTCGAGTGGTGTACTGGTCGTAAGAATAATACACGTACAAGCTACAGTCAGCCTACATTTTTCATATCGTGCGCTGCGACTTGGATCAGTTCATAGCGAGGGGTTATAATGACAGAAAGGACAAGAAGGGTACCTTTTTGAAGTCCAGCAATTTTTTGTTCGGCGACAATTTCGTAGGACGTGTCGTTTGGAGCCCAAAGGGTGAAGTCATTAGGATCGATCTTAGACACGCGACATGCTCTTACCCCAATCACTCATTACACTTACAGAAAGATCGAAGCGTTTTTGCCACACATGGAGCCACAGACTTACAAAATATACTGGCTCGCATTGTGACGGTGTATGCATAGATATTTGTGCTGGTTGTTATGTCAAACCTGTAATACATCACCCAGCAGTGCGTACCAGGAAAGACGGTTAGACGCGACCTATCGTCGGACCAATCTATGTCGAGTGTTGTCGTACTGTCGCATGGTTCATTGTTTGTTACTTGAGCATGAGTCAATCGAGATACATGGTATACCGTTGCTTGATCGCTCATCGGGATGTTACAAGGTACAAACCAGCCTGCATCATAGAATTCGGACGCGGTGATGAATACAAGAGAAACCGGCTGACTCGTACAGACGAAGTGCCTAAGATTGCTAAATAAGTCTGTGTCCTTATCCGGATTCTTGAAAGATGCTCAAGCGTAGTAGTCTACACCATCAGATCCAAATATGCTTTTCATTATTGCATGCTCTTCCAAAATTGTCGTTGTTGTAGTAGCGTCCGCAGCGTGGTACCCGTTCACCGCAAGACCCGTACAAGAAGTTGTTGAGATTTCGTATGATTAATCGATTCTTGTGACTTGACAAGATAGTGTCGATTACTGCAAATTTATCGGATGCGTGAGCTTCACTGTGCTGAGCAAGTTCAGTTGCATAGCATCCAAATGTTGTTCGTATCCAGAATATTTACCACTTATATCGTTTACGTAGTCCGCAGTCTGGCCTGGAACAGTATAAAAACCTTGTGAGCGTAAAAGCCATTGCTCATCGGGACTCCGTTTGTCGTAGGTAGCTGTGAGATCTATTGCACAGTTGTGGATTATCATACCGACTGTGGAGATGTGGTGAACGCCTGCCTTTCTACGCTAGATAAAATGGAGCATTTATGCCTTCACAAGCAAACTCGGCTTCGGACGCGTACTTGTATCATCTACAAGCGAAGGATTTTACCGAGCACTTTAGTTTTCTATTGCTGAATTCTGTTCGTTGTCCAATATCGACATATCGCCGAATGCTGTTGCAATGCTTGCGAGCACAGCAAAGATCTTGACAGTTCGATGGCAAGAGTCACTTCTTTGCAGCAATTGTGACTACAACGTTCTGTCTTGCTCTTTAGGTTAAAGACCAATCAGTTTGAGAATTGCAAGCTGTAGACTGATTGCGCATCATGGCTTTACTAAGGCCGTTTGAATCCAAATATGGCAATATTAATTCAATCGGCGATGTGTGATCAATTTATGTAAGCTACATGCGCATGGTGCAAAGGCTTTATAATAATCTGCCCTTTCTTATTCCTTAGCATTAATGTGATGTAGGTTCTTTTGACGGAAAATCATTATAGGAAACCGCTTGTGGGCAGCTGTAACCTCTTTATAGACCCTCATGCCACGCGACCGTTAAGATCATGTGCAGGTCAACTGCAAGTACAATGGATCTATTAAAAACTTCTTGGGTCAAATCCACATAGACTATGAGAATCAACGCTGTATTAGTAAGAATCCCACATCGGAATTCTTTTGGATTGTACCTGCTGACGGATCAAAAGTAGCTAGAAGGTGTTCAGCTTCGTAATACGATATCGCCTCAGTATGTATGTGGTTGGAGGAGGCGGCTAGACTTATGGCAACGTCGAGTCCAAAAATTGAGCACTGACACGTCATCATATCAAGAACTTCGCATTGGTGCGTGGATAGGACCTTTTTAGGTAAGGCGGGTTGACTCAGTGTTCTAGGGACCTACTCTTATCCTATTCAGGAGGGCATTCACATCCCTTGACTGGATCGCGGCTATTGTGTCGCGCTACGGGCTTGTACTAGCCGGGTTTCTTTGTGTCAGCCAGTCCCTGAGGCCCCCGACGATGCGTTGTCGGGTATACATGATTCTTCGAGTGGCGACAGCTCAGTGGTGCCAGTATTTTCGGGTGGTACCATTGAGATTCAAATGGTTGCACACATTTTTAAAGACCTTGGATTGGTCTTGAAAGTCCGTAGGAGCAAATCATAATCAAGCCGCTTGATCATATTGGTGCTGCTCCGGCCATCAAACAGGGTAGAGCTTACTATACGGTTACATGGTACTACCGCACCGGCTTATGGTCTGGCAGTAAACATAATTGTCTGTAGCCCATAAGCCATCATTAACTCCATATTGGCTTCTGCTTGATTTAGCGAAATCTTGTTAACCCAGCGTATGTCGAACAGATGACATGGCATACATCTAAAATGTATGCCCCTGCTTTTATGTGATGCCAACTGTAGTAGCTTGACTACGGCTCGGCTGTTGCGGAAATGCTTGCTCTCTTGCATCTTGGCTCGTTAAGATCACACTTTGGGGCCAAGGCAGTCTCAGCAGAGAAATGTAATCATTTTCGGAATTCTGATTGCACTGCAAAAAC